CTGGGTTTGATTTCTTATCATCGCTACAACAGTTTACATTTAAGCGGGTAACGTCATCTTCCTCGTACAGTGTGTGTTGTGTGGTGTGTGTATGTGTGTGTGGTGTGTGTTTTGTTGTGTGTTGTGTTGTGTGTGGTGTGTGTGTGTGTTGTGTGTGTGTGTGTGCGTGTGGGTGTGTGAGGTGCGTGATGTGATGGGGTGATTGTGATGTGGTGTGTGTGCGTGTGTGTGTTGTGTGTGTCTGTGTTTGTGTGTGTTTGTGTGTGTGCTGTGTGTGCTGTGTGCTGTGGTTGCTGTGTGTGTGTGTGTGGTGTGTGCGTGCATTGTGGGTGTCATGAGTGGCGTGTACGCTGGTGTAATGTGTGGGGTGTGGTTGTGTGTGTTGTGTGTGTGGTGTGTGTGTGTGTTTGTGTTGTGTGTGTGTGTCTTGTGTGTGTGGTGTGTCGTGTGTGTCTTGTGTGCTGTGTGGTGTGGTGGTCAGTGTGTGTGTGTGTGTACATTGGTGTTGTGTGTTGTGTGTGTGATTGTGTGTCTGTGTGTGTGGTGTGTTGTGTGTGTAGGGTGTGGTGTGTGTGTCGTGTGTGTGTGTGGTTGTGTGTAGTGCCGTGTGTGTGTGTGGCTGGGTGGGGTGTCGTGTGTGTAGTGTGCGTGTTGTGTGTGGGGGTGTGATGTATGTTGTGTGTGTGTCTGTGTGTTTGTGTGTGGTGTCTGTGTGTGTGTGTGTGTGTGTGTGTGTGTTTGTGTGTTGTTGTGTGTGTGTGTGGTGTTGTGTGCGCGTGTGTGGCTGTGTGTGTGTTGTGTGGGTGTGTGTGTGTGTGCTGTGTGTGTGTGTGTGTGTGTGTTGTCGTGTGTGTGCTGCTGTGTAGCGACATGACATCATTCCTCATACACGCGATAACCCCAACATCTATTCAACCGATACACGCAATAGCATTAGCAACGCAAAAACGCTAAGATACTTACAATTTTATTTATTTCTGGGGTCATTATGTGTTTGTCGTCGTGGCTTCGCGTCACGTTTCTAGCGACCGAGTGCCGCCCTCATATCGAGAACTCGAATGTGAATCAGAATCTAATACGTAAAGCAGAAACGAGAATTGGACCATTCATTCGTACACGAAAGCGGAAAACAAGATAAAAACCCTTTTATACATCAACGCAAAGACGCAGCGCGTCCGTCCTCCGTTACGTTGGCGCGTCGACTAGTACGCCCATACCGTTACGGAAGCGCGAAAAGACAGTCGGATTTCCTCCAAAAAAAAACCGACGCGTTTTCGGAGCAGTGGGATTTTTTGCTGTTCGCGTACGCGCTGGGCGCACTCACAGCTGGACGTCTCATGTCACGTTTGTTTTCACGAAAAATAGACAAACTAAAACTAGATTCCTAAAGAATGTATCTATTGTCAGGTTTCACTCGTAGTTTAGGGTTTTACCTGTAGACCTAGGCATCAGCGCGAAGTAGAGCTGCGGTTGTTTCAGTGAATATTGTTAAACCATTGCGGCCGGCATTTGGTTGGCAAGAAAAACAAAGTTTGCCAACGTATATGACCCCAAAATCTCTTTAAAACGCATGTCAACTACGGCGTCTTTATGCGCCTAGAATTGTTTTGTGTGTGTGGTGTGTGTTGTGTGCTGTTGTGTGTGTGTGTGTGTGTGTGTGTGTGTGTGTGTGTGTGTGTGCGTGCGTGCGTGCGTGCGTGCGTGCGTGCGTGTGCGTGCGCGTGTGTGTGTGTGTGTGTGTGAGCGTGCGTGCGTGTGTGTGTGCCTGTGCGTGCGCGTGTGTGTACGTCTGTGCATGCGAGTATGTGAGCTTCTATCGTGAAAACAGGCAATACGGTTACCGTGACTCTTTTTGAGAATTTTGGTTTCGAAAAAAACACTCGCCGCTTTTTTTACGAAACTGATTCGCGTTCCACCGCAGCGTTATTCCTACACGTCACGTGACCAGCATCCATCGCCGATGACCCAGACAACTCTGTCATGCTGCTATTGACACAACGTACAGAGACAAATACCGTGACGCTGGTCTCAAGTATGACGTCATAGAGTGACGTCATCGAGTGACGCGATTAGAGCGACGTCATATAGTGACGTATTTAGAGACGGATTTGAAACAGGACGACCCTCTGGGGGCGTTTAGCAAGAATACTTTTAAGAGTAGAGTATATCCACGTGCGTGATATGCTAATGCACGTGGTTTCGTTCGGCTGGTAGTTTCTATTTACATTGAATTTCTTATTACATCTAAGTATTTACTAATCACGCGGGAACTGCGTACATAGCACGTCGCACTGTATCAAAATCTCTAACTTGTGCACGTCATAAACAAAAGCTGTAAATGATTATTATACAACTTCTTCTCATGCAGCTATTAACAATAAACAACCGAATAATACTGTACAATAATTTACATAATAATAACTGGAATCGCTATATATATAATCGTAAAAGCAAAAACTGGATCTAGCATCGTTTTTTGGTTTAGTATAATAGTTATTAATAAAATCTGTGATATATATTTGATTACTCCCGCAGTCTTCGCACTCACAGATTTCTCTCTGTGTGTTACAGTGTACACACCACGCCATCGCAAATTACAATCAGTCATATGCCACACACTCACAGTACAATATTGTAGGAAGCGAGAGGGGTTTGTATTTCTGAGTTACAAGGCGCTGGCTTAACATTGCATTTCACACATCGCGCATATCTACGTGTGTAAGTTGGATCACCGACGCTGTTTTGTTGATATAGATAAAGCATTGAATACGTATCAGTTGACTCTAGCGATCATGCTTACGTTCGGGGACGTTTTGGGGACGTTTTAAACACGACAATTTTACCAAAATGTTGTTGTGAAAGAGGTTTGCATCAACTATGCGCGAGCATTTTGCCGTGTTTTTGCGCGAAATTTTACTCCGAAAACAACAACAACAAACTGCATCTAAATATATAGGGAATAGTGTGCGACCGTGACATATTCTTTCCGTTACACATGCGCCTATCTTTTTTGTCTTAGTTCTGGCTTACCCGTGTGGTTCTCTGTTGATGCTCTTATATCAAAGCGAAAGGCTGCACGGGCAGAGCTAATTCATCTAGGATTTGATGGGTCATTTTACCAAGCAGGCGAGCTGTGAAAGATACCAGATCTATCGACACCGTGGCGAAACCAACAAGAAAGTTTTGGATAACGAACGAATCTGGAATAACACATTCGTTCGTAATCTAACACAGATGTTCTTCTGTCAGTTAGTAGAGGGAGCCACAATCGGATCGCGTATCTCCCTCTCTGATTCTATGATGAAATGCGTGCATAATTAGTGACTGATTTACACCAGCTCTGTCCTATCATTACCGACTAGACGGATATTCAGTCACCAGTCGAACAAAAATACTTCCTCTCGCCAGCTCCCAAGCCGAAGCCGCTTCAAAGCTTCGACTTTTCGCAAAAACTCAATATGTAGTCGCGCCCCCCTGATAGTAAGGGGACCATCTCAAACGCGCGCACAATTCGCGCCTACCTAAATCTGCAAACAGCAGCGCACGTGCAGCCTCCCCCAAGCACGCTTCCCTAGCATTTACATATTGCACCGACACATTCAAAATAATTACCGAAATATTTTGCCTAGTCGTGAGCCACGTAATACTGGCGGGCTCCTTACAGCAACATTTGGCTGCGCAAGTACACACGTGTGTGTTTATGAAGACGCGCTAAACCTACACCTGCTTATACCTACAACAAGATTGTTTCTCTCTCACACACACACACACACACACACACACACACACACACACACACACACACACACACACACACACACACGCGCGCACACGCGCGCACACGCGCGCTCTCTCTCTCTCTCTCACTCTCCCTCTCTCTCTCATTGGGTAAAGACAGTTTTCGAATCGAACAGCCAACTTTTCTTTTATCAAATCGTTACTTCATACAGCGCATATATATGTCCGAGTATAATAAAGGTTTCTACATCCAAAATTATACAACCGCATAATATAGAAACCTTCGTGCCTATGTTTATCAACAAGAAGATCCTTATTTTTAAACTAAATTGATACGTTCACGTTTGCCGTCCAATGCAATCTAAAAATGTACCTATTGTATAACACACATCAAGTATTAAGCCGGCTATTATACCTCAAGCGCGATTGCTATGACGTCACATCGGCACACACCTTTCGCGTGAAATCGACACACGATGAAATGAATTCATAACAAACTAGAGTATCTCCCTCGCGCTCGGATCGGCCACCAGATGGCGCGCACGGACGTCTTAAAATTGACATCATTTATGCTGTCACATGAGATGCTTTCGCCACTTCATTGTACGCTAGAGAGTGTAAGGTCGTGGCGAGTCGTACGTGGGGGGTAAGTAATGCGATCAGAAAAGTATTCGTAGCACGCGATCAACACTCAGGACGTCAATGTTGACTTCGGGGGTCTTCGGGAGTCTTTGGAAGTCTTCGGAAGTCTTCGAAAGTCTTCGGGAGTCTTTGGAAGTCTTCGGAAGTCTTCGGAAGTCTTAGGGAGTCTTTGGGAGTCTTTGGGAGTCTTCGGAAGTCTTCGGAAGTCTTCGGAAGTCTTCGGATGTCTTCGGGAGTCATCGGGAGTCAGCTGTTTTGATTCGTCAACTGATAAAGTTTGAATGTTATCGGCAGAAGTAAGTCATAAGCAGAAGCGCTGAATCTCAACAGATATATTTGTTCAACCATAACATATCTCATTATGTAGAATCCTGACATATGTCCTTTTGTTGACCTATGAATGGCTCTTTTTGTTGAGCCATGACGTATCTCATTTTTTTGACCTATGACGTAGATCCTTTTGTTTACCTATGACGTGGCTCTTTTTGTTGTCTTATGACGTGTCTCATTTTGTTGACCAATCACGTGGCTGCTCCCGTAACCCCGTGGGGAGATGGGGGTTTCTTCATACACGCACGCATCGTATACGTCAACAACATGTAGCTGTAGCTACGGCGTTTATACCTCCGTGTGTAGACTGTCCATGCAGGCAATGCTTTGCGTAGTTCGGCTTTGCAGACCTTGTTCTTTCGTACGTTCGCTCATCGATGCCGCGCTGCGTTTTTCGTACCTTTGTTTATCGTTCACGCCGATAGATGGCGCATGCACGCAGCGCACCTCCCTTTCCTTCTCTCCGTCTCTCTTTCCATTTCTCTCTCGCTCTCTCTCTCTCTTTCCCTACCTCCTTCTTTCTTTCTCTCTTAATGTCTCTCCATCTTCCCTCTCTCTATATCCACCTTTCTATATCTCCCCCTCTCTCTATCTCCCCCTCTCCCTTTCTCCCTCTCTCCCTCTCTCCCTCTCTCCCTCCTTCTCCTCCCCCTCTCTCTCTCTCTCTCTCTGTACTCGCTCTCCCCTCTCTTTAGCATCTTCCTCCTCCCCAATGTCTCTCTATATCTTATCATAACGATCAGCTGCACTACGCGTGGATCCGCCGTGTCCGAGTCGCTCCCGCTGTGGTCGAAACGACATCGACGGCGAGATGCCCGCGTCGCTCCGTCGCTCCTCGAGCGGGATCGCCACGTTCTCGACGCTCGCCGTCGACTCTTCGGGCGTCTTCGGCAGGTTCTCGTGTTCGGCCTCGCTCGCTTCGGCTTGCTGCTGCTCGGAGCGCTGGTGCTGCCGGTGGCGGTGGTGGTGGTGGAAGGCCTGCAGTGAGAAGCGACGATGCGTGTTCTTGCGGCCGCCGCGTCGCTTGGAGATGTGCGGATTGTCCTTTCGCATCGTCTTTGTCTTGAGAATCTGCAGCTGCGTGTAGACGCGCTTCAACTCGGCCTGCAGAGAGAGAGAAGAGGGAGAGTGTGATGAGAAAGGGAGAGAGAGAGGGGACACAGAGAGAGATAGAGAGAGAGAGAGAGAGAGAGAGAGAGAGAGAGAGGGAGAGGAAGAGAGAGC